CTCCATGAACAAGGAGACAGCCTTTTCGATGCAGGATAGAACAGCAGAAGACAGAGTTCCTCCCCCAATGAGAGAGGGGACAAGGAGGGGAAGGGAGAGGGGGAAGAAGCATCAATTCGGGAGAGAGGCATTAATTGGCTGCAAAAAAAAAAAAATTACAGCTTATTCCTTCAACTAATTTAAATCTCTCCTAAAAAGTCACCTCCTTGGAGAACATTTCTAACTATCCTTTCTAATAGTGAAACTTCATCATCTCTTTCCCTCACTCACCTTTATTTTGGTACATGTGATTTTTTTAAAATTTTTATTATTGAGGTAGAGTTGACACAGAACATTAGTTTCAAGTGCACAACATGATTTGATACTAGTATATAGTGCAAGATGATTACCAAAAAAAGTCTAAATAACATCAATCACCAGTTTAAAAAAAAAGATTTTTTCTTATGATGAAAACTTTTAAGATCTACTCTAAGCAACTTTGAAATATGCAATACAGTATTATTAACTATAGTCACCACGATGTACATTACATCTCCATGACATTTCTTTTTTAACTGGAAATTTGTACCCTTTAACCCCCTTCACCCATTTCCCCCACTCCAACCCTCCACCTCCACAACCACCAATCTATTCTCTGGATCTATGATCTTATTTTTGTTTTCTTTTTAGATTCTACATTTAAGTGAGATCATATGGTACCTGTCTTTATCTACCTGACTTATTTCACTTAGCATAATGCCCTCTAGGGCCATCCATGCTGTTGGAAATGACAAAATTTCATTTTTTTATGGATGAATAATATTCATTGCATATATATGTATGTATGTATTATATATGTGTATATACACATACACATACATCACATTTTCTTTATCCAATCATCCACTGATGGGCACCTACATTGTTTCCATACCATTGCTATTGTAAGTAATGCTGTCTTTAGATCCGCCGCTGTATCCTCAGCTTCTGTCATACTATCTAGCAAACAGTAGGTGCTCAAAAAGTGTCTGTTCAATGGATTCACCAGTAAAACTAAGTTTTTCAAGAACCAAGTATTCTGAAGAGATGTGAAAGAGTCCTGTGACTTCAACCAGTCTCTACACTATAACATTAGTCACCGACATAGTGTTTTTATACGACACACTTATGGTTAACAGTAAAACTCCAAAAACCACTTTGTGTTAATGTATTTCCAGCATAACATATTAATATATGCTAACATATGGGAAGCACAAAACAGACTTTTTATTTCATCTCTGTTCTAAAAATACAACTTGGCCTAACATTTTCAAATTGAATAATTAATCTGAATTTTTAATAAATTTTAGAATTTATAGAAGAAATTCTTGGTGTTTCACTCAGGCCGTTTCAGTCACACTTGTAATACTCTAGGAACACAGAATAAGCCAAGATTTTATTAGCACAATTAGGACGGCATTGCATATACCAGGCACTAAATAAATGCTCATTAAATAAAACTAACAAATACTAAAATATGGCTTGTTATATAATTTTCAGAAGGCTATTGCATAACAAGTTAAACATCCTTAGTGTGTAATATGTCACTCTAAAACTTTTATGGAGAAAGTATCATTTCTAAGGTAAAAGAAACTATAACCAAGACATGTACCAAAAGTATACCCAAGATATACAACTGATTAATAATAAACCAACAAGTATAGTCTGTCTTGCTGCATTTATGGTCAACATTATATGATTACGTAGGTAGGTATATATAATTAGCTTTAGATTGCTAATACTTAAACAATTAATCTTATTCTAGGTATCTTTTTTATCAGTTAGTATTACAGGCTTGTCTAGTACAGTGAGAAGGAAAACCGTTTCCCAATCTCCTGTCCTTAACCTCTTCCTACCAGTACTTTCTTCTCAGAACACCATTCAGGTTTTTCTCAATTTCAATCAACTCAATTCTATGATCTGGTCTGACTACCACTTCCTCTCTCCCTTCTTCTCTTTGAAATTTCTTGAAAGAGTAACCAATATTTATCATCTCCACTTCCTTATCTCCCCATCTTTTCTCAACCTGTAGCAATCAGGCTACTTGGCTCAGTCTCCCGTTAACCTATTCTCACCAAGGTCATTTCTCCTAGTGGCTAAATCCAATTAGCGCTATTCAGTCCTTAACTTGCTTTGTGCTCTACAGCTGCCCTGCCCAATACAGTGATGACTATCCACATGTGGCTACCGAGCACTTCAAATATATTGAGTACAAACAATAAAGGAAGTGAATTTTTAATTTTTGAAATTTAAATTTAAAAAACTGACAGTTATAGGTTTCTTTGGAATAATTTGTGTATGTGAACCTACTTTTTAAACTGTATATTTTATAAAATCTAAATACAGATCAAGAATTTCTGATGAAAATGTAGCATCAGAATTAACATGTAATGTAGATGTAAGTGTAACATACACACTGGATTTCAATGACTTGGTATAAAAAAAGGTTATCAAATAATCTTATTAATAATTTTTATATTAATTATATGTTGAAATAATAGTATTTTGGATATATTTGCTTAAATAAAATTATTAAAATTAATTTCACCTGTTTATGTTTTTTAAAGCAGCTACTGGAAAATTTAAAATTATCTATGTATTATTTTATGTCTACTGGACAGTACTGCACTTAGCATTAGATTATTAGAATGACGGCTTCTCGTTCCATCTTGAAAGGCTGCGGCTACTTATCTCCTTCTACTTCTCTGATGCCCCACTTTCAGTCTGCAGTGGACCTTACTCTTCCACCCACTCCTTAAATGCTAGTGCCTCTCGAGGCTGTCCTGAGGCCCTCTCCAGGGACTCTCCCTAGGTGATCTCACTCTCACCCAAGGCTTCCACTATTCGTATACACTGATGACTGTACACCCTTCATTTGCAAATCAGCTCGCTCTTCAGAGAATGGCATTTTCAACTGTACCTACATCTAAGTACATCTGCACTTGATCTGCCATTACATCTTTTGGTAAATACATTACATGTATTTACCTTGTTAATATCATAAATCTGGACCCTGTTATCCATTTCATTCAGATCCTCACAATTTCTCACATTTATCACTACATTAGCTTCCAAAGTACTATCCTTGTCACCTTCCAAATCAATTTCCTTTGGCTGTTAAGTTTCTAAAAGTCACACCTGGTCACATGATTTCTCTGTTCAAAATACTTTGGTGGTTTCCTCACTGCCTTCAAGATAACACAGAAACTTCTTATAATCATACATAACTCTTGGTGCTTATCTGTCTGTTGGCTTTATGCTTTGTTGCCAACCCTATAAAATCCCAACCTCAAGGGTGTCTAAGTACCTGCAGTCCCCTGAATGCAACATTTGCTTTCTCACCACCAGGTTTTCTTTGCACACTCTCTTTCTGCTGACAGCAATTAAAACTCTTAAAACTCTATCCTTGCTCTCCTAGTCATCCTTCAAAACTCAGCTAACATATCACCTCCCCCAGGAAATGTCTCCAAACCTGAGCAAGTGTTCCTCCTCTGAGTGACCACCATGCCTATTTACTTGTCTACTAATAACCCAGTTGTACTGCCCCTGGGTGCTCTGGCCAGTTTGTGAATTCTCTGAAGGTAGGAATAAAGTGTTTTTACTTTATCTCCCTGTGTTATGCTTAATAAGTATTTATTGATAAACAGACACAACATTAAATAAGAGAAATCCACAGAATAAAATGCAAGGCTAGAAATTTTTAAATGGGCTCACAGAGTCATGAGTGAAATAAAGAAAGTTAACCTCAATCATCCTGAAAAAAACTTTAATTAGATGGTCTATGTCAGGATGTACTGAGGTAGGGAATAGAAAAATATATGCTAAATAATCATTAAAGTATCAAATACTCAACAGCAGCAACAACTTAAAACCTTAAAGGCTAAATGATATTCTATAACCTTGTTTTTCATACCATTTCATCCCTAATTCCACTTATCAGTTCCTTTCTTCCATTCTTTACATTAATTTTCCTTCCAATTAAATTTTGCTTTATTTCCTTCCCTCACCCAATCCTTTTCACTTCTACTGTCCCTCTCCCTTCTATGCTTCTTTGAATATAACAGGAAATTAAAAATATTGTCTTTGTCATCAATGTCGGCAATTTTGTATTAAACAAAGGACAGTAAAAAACCAGTGAACGAAATTATATCACAGTCAAGTTGATAGACAAAACCAGGTGCATTAATCTGGGTGGGTGATTTCATAATACCAAGCAGTAATATGAACCATATGCATACTAAGTGGAGTCTGACAGGCATCAGCGAGTCCTTGGGGTTATGGCGGCAGGACAGTGGGGAGTAAGAAAAGAACAGCCAAATTGCCGGTGGTGAGGGCAGTCACAGCCCAGCCTCACAATATTCTGCAACTTGTGCCTGCCCTTCAAGAGGAAGCAGAAACAGACATGGGGAATGCAGGGAGCAACCAGCTACCTGGACCAGCACAGCTGGGTAACCAATTTGACAGCGTGAGCAACAGCAGCCAACCAGCACCAGGTGCTAGTCTGAGCACAATGGCCTGGATACCAACTTGGGGACACAAAATAAAGACTACTGTTCCCAGGGAATTTCTGAATTTTAGTTCTGCTACAGAATAGATTCTGAGAGAGGTAGAGAAGTACCTGGAGAGGAATTACATAATTACAGTATTTAAACTAGATTGGTAGGGAGAAACAATTTTTTGAAGGACAGCAATTGCTAAAGGGAAATAGAGTACATTCTTTTAAATTACCTGAAAGTAATGTTTCAAAACCACTCAACACTGGGTTTTGTAGGCATAGGAAAGTTCACCCTAAAGATCGACATCTTACAGAATTCACAAACAGAAATGAAATCTCTTGAATAACTTTACACTCAGCAAGACGATGGAACAGAAAAGGGTATGTTGAAATGTTTCTAAAACATCCTAGAACTGGACTGTCAGAGCAACACCTTTAAACAATCAATTTAATTCAAAGCAGTACAGGGCAAGATTTACTCCCTTACCCGTGTCCAGGAGTTAAGTTTCGATTCTCCAGAATTCTGTGGTTCTTTGTTAATCAGACAACATAAGCACCATATTAGAATTTTTTGGCTTTCATCTGCAAGAAGAAAAACTAAAATGAGTAGGTTTAATCAAATAAAAGGGAAAGATAATCAGTATTAAAAAATTTAAAACACTATTTACAGGAAACATGTTTATTATATTTTAGGAAAATCTCAAACTATTAAGTTCACAGGCCAAGCATCCAGAACCACGTGTGAAACAACTTTGTGGGGTTTTTCCTTCTTGTGGGTTTGGGATCACGTATACTCAGCCCTTGTGTGGTCAGTTCCCTTTCTGTTACAGCTGCAACTTTTAAAGCCAAAAGAGAATGATGGAAAGAACTAAAAGAACTGGGCTTTTCTCAAGATCAGTTCTTTACTTCTCATTTCAAACCTTTAATAGTCAACCTTTTTAAGGCAACATAACTGTTATAGGCAGCACTCAATATTTCAGACTTAACCTTTTAATTTTCTAATTTGCCAAAACACCCTCCCTTTCTAAAAACAAATTCAACAAAAAATTGTTTAATACCAAATGGTTTGGATAAAATAGAAGCATCTTAACATGCTCCTAATTCTTTACTCTAAAATGTAAAACTTTACTAAATATGTGATGAAAATACTGAACTTTGAAATCTTATTTTGAAAACTGAGTCCATTTGAGCTGAAAATTTTGTAACAGGACTGAAAAGCAAAACAAGGCCTAAAGACTGAAGAAGTCAGTTACCTGAACTAGAGCCAAGCAACTGTGGACTTGATCACCAGGCCATGGAGGTGAGGCTGAGGAAGCCCAGCACCTGGAATCAAGCCTCTGCAGACCACCTAATGCCCCTGTGGGGGCAGGAAAATAAATTTTCCTTCTACCCTTCTAAATTCTTCTGTCTGGACTAGTAATCAAATTAACATAAGACAGATTAACAGGAGAAAAATGACAAAATTTATTATATATGTACATGTGGGGTTCCACAAGAATATGGGACGGGAGAAGTCGGGCAATTAAGGCTTATGTGCCATCTTCAGCTAAGGAGAGGGGGTGGCAACTATGGTCTTGGACTTTAAAGGGCAGGAAGACAATTCACATGGAGATGGAAAAGCAAATGTTTGGTAAATAACTGTTTGCTGGGTTATCTTTAACAATGGGACACAGAGAGGACCTTGACCAAAGGGCCTTAGTAGGTTCCTCCCTATCACACTTAGTTTTTATTAAACTGTAGCTATTTATGAAAATAGCTTCCTTCCTGGAGCAGGTTCTCTATCTAAATTCTTTTAGTAGCTGGGGGGAAGGTCCAAGTTTTTTTTCTAAGTCTTTTGTTAATTAAAAGTAATCAGCTTAAAATAATCAATATTCCAAAAGGCATATTTTGGTGTAAAAAACTCAGCTTCTCCTCACCCTTTACCTTCTATCTTCTGCAATCTCATAAACACAGTTTCTGTATGGGGTTCATTAATAAGAAACAAGGAAAAGACAAACTACACAAAGCGACCACCGCATTTTTAACCACACACCAAAAGACACAGTATTTTTTAAAACCATTTTTTACCCATAAATATATATACATATGCTTATGGTCTCCTAATAACTAACATCTCTAAACAAACTTTATCAGGAGTTATTCGAAGGGACATTCACATTCACTTTTTCCCCTAGTTTTTATGAGCTTGCCTAAGATCAATTTATTTCAAAAATTATATAATTTAACCTCTAAGTACCCTAGGGTTCTTCAGGTGAACCAATGCCACTGATTAAAAATGTGGCTATTGTATGTTTTATGCTTTAAATATTAGAAGAAATTCCATCTTCATGTGACAAATGACAGACACATCCAATGATAAGCTTTAGACAGGAAAGAGAGAAGTTAGGAAAAACTCCCAACAAGTGGAATGAGGAAGCAGGAGCAGACATCACAGGCCAGTGAGTGCCAGCGAGGTCCTCTCCTCAGGTGGGGACCTCCACACATGATCAAAGGGAAGCAGCTTATGGCAGAAAACGCCTGCTGGAGTCACAGAAGTCATGATGTCATCAACAAGGACTGGCTAAAACCAGATCAATCCAAGATGGAGGAAAAGTTGACCAGAGACCAACCCCAAAGTCCATTATATCATCATTATAATGAAATTGACATCACAAGTAGAAGGGGGACCTCAGGGGAACAAACACCATGACACTTCCAGGAGGGACCATGTTAGAGACAAGGCCCCCTCCCAACCAGAAGGCAAAAACTGAATTTGGTGCCACAAAGTTCAGAAACTGAAAACACATAAAATCCCAGGAACTAACTGAGCACAGGGCACAACTCACAAGTTCGCTCGCATCCACTCAGACAGGTATTTTCACTTCTTTCACGGTCATACCCTGTGAGGCTTTGCAGCTAGAGGGGCAGTGGGTGGCGGCAGCCAATCCTGGGTTCAACCCCTGATCCTGTCTCCAAGAACCCCACAGTCTGACCTCTTTCTTTCTCTATCTAATAAAACTTGCTTTCGCTCTCACTCAGACTTGTTCTTGAATTCTTTCCCGTACGAGTCAAAAGCCTGGAGGTCCCAAACCATACGGGGGCAGAACACCCGATAGGAACCAATCCCGTGACAAGCTTGCACAAGCAGCTTCCCGGGTTAAAAAAGAATGCAACCTGATGGAAAGCATTTCCAAAACTTAGACATTCAATATCAAAAAAGGAAAAAGAAAAAGGAAATGTTCATTTATAGAGCTTAAGTCTAAAAGAATACAAAAGATGGGATTTTCTCCCAGGTATTGAGAGATTCCACACATTTAGTTCAACAAGTATATTTATTTTTCTCTCAAAAAGAAAAAGAAAAGCCCTGGCCAGTGTTGCTCAGTGGTTAGAGCATCATCCCATGCACCAAAGGGTCGTGGGTTCGATTTCTGGTCAAGGGCGCATATCAGGGTTGCAGGTTCAATCCCTGCCTGGGCTGGGTGTGTGTGGAGGAAACCAACTGAAGTTGTCTATCTCACATAGAAGTTTCTCTCTCTCTCTCTCTCTTTCTCTCTCTCTCTCCCTTCCACTCTCTCTAAAAATCAATGGGAAAAAATATCCTCAGGTGAGGGTTAACAAGAAAGAAAGAAAAAGAAAAGCCAAAGAAACTTTCACCCAACCTTTAGGAGATGACTTCCTTTGCCAGAGTCAATGCACTGAAATACACTGAAATGTACAGCTAAGGAGATTACTTTGTTTTAGGAATTTACAGATGCAAGCCATCACTTATTATTCATGAATGCTACATGCACAGTACAGGGGATGGCACCGAGCATCCAGCCAGGCAATTAAGTGAGATGGGAAACTGCCTGGGGTTCATCATGGGGGCAGTCACTGACAGCAGATCTTAGTGCAAATTTGGATTCTGAAAAAGAGTAGAAGGGAAAGGAATATACCAACATATATTTGCCACCTAGTGTTTTATTTTTTGATATCTTGAACTGAAATTTCAAATAAAAGCTAAGTTAATTCTTTCAACTTTAATTCTATAGCTTAAAAGTATAAAGGTAGCATATTTTGAGACAATAAATATTAACTGTTTTAAGCTGCCAAGTTTGGGGACAAACTGTTACACAGCAATAGACAGCAAGTAGTGAGTAAGAGAGGTTATAGCTTTAGGTTTAATTTTGAGGGCAGGGCTAGAATCAAGGATTCTCAGGGGGTAAAGGCAGTAATTTATGCAGAGAGCACCACTGAATACAAGGTGCTCTCCCTTTCTGTTACTGTCTACTCTGTCTCTTCTCTTTCTGGTGTCTTCATTTCCAAAAACCTCTTCCTTCTTATTTTCCTTGTTTCTGCTCCTGTTCTCACTTAACCTTATAAGAGACTTATTTCCTTGATGGAAATTATTTACTTTTACTGTATTTAAAAAGTAATTTTGATATTATATAATTGTAAAAAAAAAAGACCCTTTACTGAAATAAAATGCCCAGCCAGTGAAACAACAGCATATTAAGTTCCTCTATGCCTGTCAGTCTTCTCTGTGAGCTCAGAATCAAACGTACACCTCAACAGGAACCTGACATTTAATGGGCAGTTCAAAAGGCAACACACACATTGAAACAGAAAGAGGTGGAGAATTTGTTTCTGGTTGTCAGAGGGGGCCAATGTAATGAAGACAAGGTGCTAAGGAAAGATCACAGACTGATACAAGTTTAAGGCCATAGGAATAAAATTAATCCAACCTCACACTTTTATAAATAAGGAATCAGAAACCCAGAAAGTTCCATGGCTTGTCTTAGAAAACCCCATCTCATCTACTGTCCTCCAAGAGTCAGTCATAGCATGAGCTTCCCTGTGAAAGAAACTCTCCTTCCCTTCAGATCCTTGTTCCAACTTCTGGTCTCTTTTCTCCTTGTCTGGAAAGTGAGCAGAAATTGTGAATCATGTTTTCCTAGGCCCTGGCATACAAACAAACAACAACAAAACCCCCCACAAAAGACAAAGAAAACAACTGCGTAAATATCTGTCCAGTGAATATATACATTCAGGTGAAGCTGGCAGTGGTAAAGCTGGGACTAGAATGCTTCAACCACCTGGTGTGATCCATGGGGTTTAGATCATTACAACACCGTAGACTTTAGAGAGTGGGCTCCTGGCTCTTATTAGCTTTGTATTCTGGAAAAAGTGACTTATTTACTCTAATCCATAATTACCTTTTCTGCAAGACTATCATCAAGAACTCAGATCCACTATGCAATCCACAGAGACCAGTGCTCAGCACAAAGTGAGCAACGCCTCTCACTCTAGTTCTTCAATTCTGTAACACAACCTTTCCCACATTTTAATATTCTGAATTAGGGATGTCTTATATGTACCATGTACCCTTAAAGGGCATAGCATTTTTTTCTAAAAAATGGTTATCCAATCAATGAAGTATCTAACAATAGGTGATGCCTTTACTTATTTATTTATTTTTTATTTATTTATTTTTTAAAATATATCTTTATTGATTTCAGAGAGAGGAAAGGAGAGGGAGACAGAGAGATTGAAACATCAATGATGAGAGAGTCACTGATTGGCTGCAGCCCGCAACCTGGGCATGTGTCCTCACCGGGAATCAAACCCAGATCGCCTGGAACCTAGGTCGACGCTCAACCTCTAAGCCACGCCCGGACGGGCTAGGTGGTGCCTTTAAATTGAAGAAATTCAACAGTCTTTTCCTTTTCCTTCCATCAGTATCATCAACCTAGCTCAATATTTTTCAAACTTTTGGTCATAACCCATCAATGGGTTGTGAAATCAGTTTTGGGTCAGGAAGATAATTTTTAAAATAGCATAGTGAATATGGTTTTCACATAATAAAAATAAGCATTCTTTAATGAAATGTGTGTGCATGTACATGTATCTATGTGTATAAGTGTATATGTAGGTATGCATATATGCATATGCACATGCACAAAAAAGTTTTTCTGGTCAAAGATGTTTGAGAAACACTGGCACAGCTGAAATATAAATATAGGACAGGTAGGTGTGGCCCTGGTAAGTGTGACAAGTACAGTGGTGGCTGTACAATGACGACTTTGCCATTTTAGATCAAGAACTTAACAGGCTGAGTGGCTGGGGGAGGAAGAATCAACTCAAGAGGGAAGCAGAAGCAAGAGGCGTAAGTGGAGAGGAAGAGAAACAGATGGGGGGGTCACAGGAAGTGAGTCTGAGTGTGTTCCGTGCACCCATGCATGTATGCTCAGGACCAAATGCTGGTATCATGCTACACAATGTCTTTGACTAAAAAGTATAAAAAGTAAATATTACATTAGCTAATAATATAGTCAAATTGAGGAAATAAACCTCAACCTTGCACCTTCAGATGCATCTTCTCCACCCTACCATAGGCCCTAGGATGACAGAGACATCTAGTCTTCCAGGACATCAGACAGGCAAACCAACAATTATAAAACAGTGTAGTTATAATTAAGGGAAGTGCTGGTGGCTCTGGAGACACTATAAGAGGTTCCAAACTCAGCCTCAACAAGGTGATTTAAAAAGTTTATGAGGAGGAGAGATGAGAACAGATAAGGCAACAAGAATTGCACGTCACAGGCCCTAACATCATGCGCCTCAGGCATAGTTAGTAATCTGACCTGGCTGTAACACAAGTGGTGTAGTTGTGGAGGATTAAACAGAAAATGAGGCAGGACAGGTAGGCAGGAGATCAGTAAAGGAACACCTGCCCCAGTGCACCCCAAATTCCTCTTCACCTTTGGTAAAACCAAGCTTTCATCCCTAAATATCGGTAGAGTCATGCAGGATTCAGACTGAAGAATAATTTACACATGGAAAACAGTATGGAAGTTAATATGAAGCTGTGAAATAATTATTTCATTATTATAACCATTTTACACTGAATTAAAAATGAGGTTATCATAATTATGGGGGGTTTCCACCCTCTAACAAACACAAGGAATTCTATGTCCTCCAGATCTGCATGTGTGTGTTTATCTATACAAAAATATCAAAACAACAGCAAAGGATGCTATTTCGTAATGGAGCAATAAATACATTTAAAAAGTTGCTTCATAATTTATAGATTCAATGCAATTCCTATTAAAATACCAACAGCATATTTCACAGAGCTAGAACAAATATTCCAAAAATTTATATGGAGCCTGGCCAAGTGTGGCTCAGCGGTTGAGCGTCAACCTAGGATCGAGGAGATCACGGTTCCATTACCGGTCAAGGCACATGCCCAGGTTGCAGGCTCGATCTCCACTCAGGGCCGTGCAGGAGGCAGCTGATCAATGATTCTCATCACTGATGTTTCTATCTCTCTCTCTCTCCCTCTCCCTTCCTCTCTCTGAAATCAATAAAGATACACTTTAAAAATTAAAAATTTGTATGGAACCAAAAAAGACCCCGTATAGCTGCAGCCATCTTGAGAAAGAACAACAGAGCGGGAAGGATCACTTTACCAGATATCAAACTGTACTACAAAGCCACTGTAATCAAAATAGCCTGGTATTGGTACAACAATAGACATACAGATCAATGGAACAGAACAGAGAACCCAGAAATAGACCCACTCCATTATAGTCAGTCAGTATTTGACAAAGGAGGCAAGAGCATACAATGGAGTAAAGTCTCTTCAATAAATGGTGCTGGGAAAATTGGACAGCTACATGCAAAAAAATGAAACTAGACCACCAACTTTCACCATACACAAAAATAAACTCAAAATGGATAAAAGACTTAAATGTAAGTCTCAAATCCATAAAAATCCTGGAAGAAAACATAGGCATGAAAGTCACAGACATCTCATGTCATGGAATTTTCACTGATACATCTCCTAGGGCACGAGAAACAACAGAAAAAATAAACAAATGGGACTACAGCAAACTCAAAAGCTTCTGCACAGCAAAAGAAAACAGCCTCAAAAATACAAAGGAACCCCATGGTTTGACAAAACATATTTGCCAAGGATGTATCTGATATGGGGCTAATTACCAAAGTGTACAAAGAACTCATACAACTCAACAAGAGGAAGACAAACAATCCAATTTAAAAATGAACAAAGGACCTGAATAGACACTTCTCCAAAGAGGACCTACAGGTGGCCAAGAGACATATGAAAAAATGTTCAACGTTGCTAATCATCAGACAGATGCAAATTAAAACCACAATGAGGTATCACTTCACACCTGTCAGAATGGCTCCATCAACAAATCAACAAATGACATGTGCTGGCGAGGGTGTGGGGAAAGGGGAATGCTAGTACACTGCTGGTGGGAATGCAGACTGGGGCAGCCACTGTGGAAAACAGTATGGAAGTTCCTCAAAAAATTGAAAATGGAGCTGCCTTTTGACCCAGAGATCCCACTTCTAGGAATATATCCTAAGAATCCTGAAACACTAATCAGAAAGAATATATGCACCCCTATGTTCATAGCAGCCCAATTTACAATAGCTAAGATCTGGAAACAGCCCAAGTGCCCATCAATAGATGAGTGATAAAAAAGCTGTGGGACATTTATACCATGGAATACTATGCAGCTGTAAAGAAGGAACTCTTACCCTTTGGGACAGTATGGATGGACCTGGAGAATATTATGCTAAGCAAAATAAGCCAGGCAGAGAAAGACAAACATTACATGATATTACTTATATGTAGAATCTAAACTTAATAAACTGATGAACAGAATAGATTCAAGGGCATGGAAGCATGGATCAGACTGATGAATCTCAGAGGGAAGGTGGGGGTGGGTGGGGGAGATGGAGAGAGATTAACCAAAGAATTTATGTGCATATATGCATAACCCAAGGACACAAACAATGGTGTGGTGAGGGACTGGGGAGGAGGGTTAGGTGGGGTGGAAGGGGTCAACGGGGAGAAAAAGGGACATTTGTAATATTTTGAACAAAATAAATAAATAAATAAATAAGTAAGTAAAAAGTTGCTTCATGAAATACAGAACACAGATTTATAATTTAAAGTTCTGTATTTTGTTAAACAATGCAAAGATTAAAATTATCATTAGAAGTTTGTGTTTTGAGAAAACATGCCTTGGAGTCTTACCATATGCTAAGATAAAAGGATTCCAGCAAGTTTTTGCCAACAGTTGACCAATTGTGGGGAACCTTTCAATGACTGTACTTGAATCCTGTAAAAGAAAATTATGCTTTGGTCAGTAAAAGGGCCCTATACAACTCAGAAAGACTGAACGGACACTATGGTTGGAGGAACCTTGGATGCTTCTTGTTTAATATGCATTTTAAAAAAGTACAAAAAACAGGATTAGAAAAGATCTTTCAGTAAGTTATTCAAGTAAAGTTTAACAAGCAACCACCTTCCTTCATCCGTAAACCAGGTCACCAAAACTAAGATGTTCAGCACATTTAGGTAAAATCAATTTTGTTACAAAATTAACTTCCTTTTACTCATACTGAGTCAGGAAACGGCACTTTATTTAAAAGTAACAAAGACCGCATAATAGTGAAAAGACATTATGGGTGATTAATATCTTTATAATCTCTTATCTTTATCCTGGAGTTTTATTCTAACATAATAAAAGATGTTCCTAACTCAGCTCCAGAAGGAGTAGTTCAAAGAGGTTTAGGGGAACAAGAACTCTGGAACTTGTAAAAAGAAATAAAAGCAGCCAAAGCATAAAGATCTATATCTGTGTTTATTACTATTTTGATTACTATATGCTAAATGGCATCAGACTCAGTCTACAACAACCTAAAACCTGAGACAAAAATAGACCAACTAAATAGAAAACAGTTTAAGATTTAAAAATATACATGTGCTGTACAACTGGCCCTTATCCCACTCCTTTACCTTTCAGAGAAAGTTAGAAAATAAGACCAAACTGAGGTAATGTGCACACAGGGTGAAATGAAAGGCATTTCCTACTGCTGCAGCAATAAATCCCTCACACTGGCTCAGTACCGAGGCCAGTCTTAGATTTCCTGGGACCACTTCAAGGTCAAGTTACAAAAGTCTTATTACAAAAACAATTTTAAAATTAGCGTTGGTTGTTCACACAGGCTGCATCTCTCCTTATAGTGTCTAAAGACATATGAACTCATATCATTGACATGAATTATTCTTCAAGTTTCATGCTTGCTTCTTTGCTTATGGGAATAAAAATATAACACAAGAGTATTCGTCTATGTTAAATCACAATTTTGCTTTTCATCTTGAAGTTAGACAATCAGCATAAAACAAATAATATTTTGATAATATGAAAATATGTTAATTCATAAACATATTTATTAGAATAAAAGTAAATCATACCAAAATGAAAATATATTAAATTTTAATACAATAAATTATATGACAATTGTAAATACATTCCAAATCTTAAGATTCACCAGAAAAGACCACTTAAAATATTTATAAGAAGAGATCTTAGTATTTATCATCTCTTGGTAGAGTCCATTTTAAATTAGGGTTGAGGAAAAGGTAAGCATTTCAGCAAACTCTTCAATTTAAGAGATGCAGAGGCCTTTAAAAGAATCCCAACTAGTGCCCAAGTCTTTTTTTATTAAAAACAATCTGGTCAGGAAGTCTTATGTGACAATATACCTAATCAAGAAGAAAAGACTGAAGTCATAATGAATCAGAGACAAGAAAATCAATTCTTGTCTGTATTACCTACGGGTAAAATTTGTCTTTCTACTCTTTCAATACATTAGGTCAATACCACAAATTCCTGACCTTGGATCAAATTCAGACTTGGTGAAATCCAGTAAAGAGTCCCTGCTGTCACAAAATAACTTCATTAATTTTGGTCCAAAATTTACCATCTTTTTCAAGGCTTCATATATCTGCCTCAGGAACTCCTGGAACTGAGGTAGGTGATGGCAGATGTCTTGCTGGGTTTCCAAAGTGGAGGCCTGGCCCCATACAGAAAGCTTCCGCATCCAAAACTGATAATCGGAAGAAAGGCCTACTGAATCTTGAGCCATCTCAAAAAAAGGGCAAAGGTGAGTACCTTCACAGTGGCCAGGCAAGCAATAAAGGAAACTGAGCACACATCAAATCTGTAAGATAGGGGGAAAAGGAAACATTTTTTTTATTGTCGACCCTATTACAGATGTTCCCTCTTTTCCCCCACTTTGCCCACCTCCATCCAGACCCCCGCCCTCCCCTCCCTCTGGCCCTCACCACACTGCTGTCTGTGTCTATGGGCTGTGCATGCATGTTTTTTGTCTAATTCCTTCACCTTCCTTCATCCAGTCTGCCCCACCCACCTCCTCTCTGACATCTGTCAGTCTGTTCCATATATCCATGCCTGTGTGTTCATCAGTTTATTTTGTTCATTCGTTTCCACATGTAAGTGAGATCATGTGGTATTTGTCTTTCTCTGACTGGCTTATTTCTCTTAGCACAATAATCTCCAGGTCCATCCATGCTGTCAAAAAGGTAAGAGCTCCCTTCTTTTTATAGCTGTTTAGTGTTTCATTGTATAAATGTACCAGAGTTTTCTATCCACTCATCTACTGATGGGCAGTTGGCTGTTTCCTGATCTTGGCTATTGTAAATAACGCTGCTATGAACACAGGGGTGCATATATTCTTCAAATTGGTGTCAAAAGGCAGTTACACGTTTAATTTTTTGAGGAAACTTCATACTGTTTTCCACAATGGCTGCACCAGTCTCCATTCCCAGCAACAGTGCACTAGGGCTCCCTTTTCTCCACACCCTCACCAGCACCTGTTGTTTACTGATTTATTGATGGAGCCATTCTAATAGGTGTGAGGTGAGACCTCACTGTGGTTTTAATTTGCATCTCTCTGATGATTAGTGACATTGAGCATTTTTTTTATATGTCTCTTGGCCACTGGTATGTCCTCTTTGGAGAAGTGTCTATTCAGGTCCTTTGTTCATTTTTAAATTGGATTGTCTTCCTGGTGTTGAGTTGTACAAGTTCCTTAAATATTTTGGAAATTAACCCCTTATCAGATGTATCATTGGCAAACATGTTCTCTCATACAGTGGGTTCTCTTTTCATTTTGTTGATGGTTTCTTTTGCTGTGCAGAAGTTTTTAGTTTCATGTAGTCCTATTTGTTTATTTTTTCCTTTGTTTCTCTTGCCCTAGGAGATATATCGGCAACAATGTTATGAGAGATGTCTGAGATTTTACTGCCTACAGTCTTCTTCTAGGATTTTTATGGTTTCGTGACTTACATTTAAGTCCTGTAACCATTTTGCATTTATTCTTGTATGTGGTGTAAGTTGGTGGTCTAGTTTCATTTTTTTGCACGTAGCTGTCCAATTTTCCCAACACCATTTACTGAACAGAATGTTTTTACTCCATTGTATACTCTTGCCTCTTTTGTCAAATATTAATTGACCATAAAGGCGTGGGTTGATTTCTGGGCTCTATGTTCTTTTCCATTGATCTATATGTCTGTTCTTCTGCCAATACCAGGCTGTTTTGATTACAGTGGCTTGTAGTATGGTTTGATATCAGGTATGGTGACCCCTCCAACTTTGTTCTCCTTTCTCAAGACTGCTGCAGTTATTCGGGGTCTTTTTTGGTTCCATATAAATTTTTGGAGTATTTGTTCTACATCTGTGAAATAGGCCATTGGTATTTTAATAGGAATTGCGTTGAATCTATAGATTGCTGTGGGTAATATGAACATTTTAATGATGTTAATTCCTCTAATCCATGAACAGGGTATAAGCTTCCACTTACTTGTATCTTCCTCAATTTCTTCCTTCAGTGTTCTATAGTTTTTCAAGTACAGGTCTTTTACCTCCATGGTTAAATTTATTCCTAGGTACCTCATTGTTTGTTGTTGTTGCAACAGTAAATGGGATTGCTTTCTTAGTTTCTTTTTCTGATAGTTCATTATTGGTGTATAAAAATGGAAAATGAAACATTTTAAAAAGGATTTCTTATTGGTGCTTTCACAATTCACTGATGAGTAAAAGGGGGATTACTAGGGACTAAAATAGCATGCTTTCTGTGGAGTCATCTTGAATTATTTTTAAATGTGTCACCCAGCTATAGCTCCAATCATTACCATCTGAACTTTTTATCATGAGTAATATCATTACATTAAAAGTCATTATACCTCCACAGGCACATGCTAATTATGTACAAAAGGCACAGCTGATAATACTTTATATCTTCTTTTTAAGATTGAGCTATTTTTAAATGTTCAGAATATGAAGTTCCTTTGTGTATTTTAATGTAACGGAAAATCAAAAACATCCATGGGCATTTAATAATAGTCTGTGTCTAAGAAATGTTTTTGAAGTTCTTATGTTTTATGTGCATTTCTGGCTTCTCATTTAGGTGTAAAAAAAAAATCTCTACACATTACTGTCTAATGAATTTTCTTCCCAGTTTCTCATTTCTTAGAAAAAGTAAAATAATTCATTTCACATGCATTGATTTGAACAATCTGCTTAACTTAAAGACTGCTGTATATGCTTGATCTCATTCATTCACAAGAAGAAATCACATTTTAGTAAAATATGGCAAACTCCAATTACTAAGAGGATGTACTAGTCTTAAGTGACAGAAAATAAAAAAAATAACCTTGATTTACCACACCTGAAGTGGAGTTAGGCAGGAGCATGTGCCTCAGGAAGAGCTGGGGAAGTAACTCCAGGTGCCCCACTACCATCCCAGCCTCCAGGCCATCCTCACCATGGGAAGCACCAGACAGAGAAGGGAGGGCTGCTTTGACAGGTGTAGGCCTTTAAAGATATACTTTGCTGGGGCAGGGATGACACTCAGCTATCTAATTTCAAAAGACTCTTCTGCAAATGGTGAGTTTAAATCTTCATCAACGAGAAGCAACCGATAAAATGCTTCCAATTAAATGCCAAAAACATCAACAAAGGAGGTTCTTATTACTAAACAATTAAAAATTTTTAAAAGATTGTACAACTGCCCTGGCTAGTGTACCTCAGTTGGTTGGACATGGTCTTGTGCAGCAAAAGGTTGTGGGTTCGATCCCCACTCGGGGCATGTGGGGGAGGCAACGTATTGATGTTTTTCTCTCACATAATTGAATTATAACATTAGTTTCAGGTGTACAACATAATGATTCAGTATTTGCATTTATAATGAGATGATCACCACAATAAGTCTTGTTAACATCCGACACCACAGTTACAAAATTTTTTTTTCTGGGATGAAAACTTTTAAGATCTACTCTCTGAACAAGTTTCAAATATGTAATAAGGATTATTAACTATAGTCACCATGCCGTACATCTTCATCACATATTTATTTTATAACTGGAATAAACTGAAGAACATTTTGAGAGAAAAGAAACACTATTTTATTATAACAAAATTATAAACAATCTTTTGCTTAGCAATGGAAATGTACCCAACTGTTTTAAATGGCAAGGGCTTTGGGAATCACGCAGTGCAGTGGTCCACATGCTCTCTCCACAGCTTGTCTGGCGAGGGTACGCTGCAGGCAGGAGGGGATGGTGGTGGTCAGGCAGCGGTGGTGCCTGGGTTGTGACAGTAGCAGTGGGAGAGCTGCCGGCGTTTAGTGACCAGTACCAAGGATGCTGAACATGCTGCAATGCACCGGGGCAGCAGCGCATGAAGAAAACTGGTCGTCCCCAACGAGAAACACTGGCTTAAGTGGAATACTCTGGAATGAGCACCTGTTGAGCAGTCCTCCTCCCTTCTTTCAGTTTAGCACCTTACATTCATTCAGGAAAGTATCTCTGCTCCATTCCCCAAGTCTTGGTGGGTCTATTAAACACCTTGCTGACTAGTCACGAGTATACAGGAGTTTCCATGACCAAAAGTTGCTGACCAGTCATGAGATAACTCATGTCTGCACTTATATTAATTTAAGTAACTTTAAATACCTTGCTGACCGGTCACGAAAGAGAAGTAGCTGGCCGCACAGGCAGTTCTGGCTCGAAATGGCCAGTCAGCAAGGTGTTCAAGGCACCTTGTACCATCAGCCAAGGCTGGCATGAAGGTTCAAGTCACACAAACCAGACTCTGCTGGGAATCTGAATCTTGAGTAGACTGACATGAGGGCGGAAATAAGTCATTCAGAGGCTCTTGGTCTAGATCCCTGGAGCTACCCTATGTTGTGTACTCCTCCTTTTAATTCTATTAGCTACCCAGGGGCCTTCCAACAAATTCTTTATGCCCCTTTTATTCCCCTCAAATTAACCACTGCTGATTTCTCTGATTTTCAATCAAAGAACACAAACAACTGATACAGACCACAACTGATACACTTGATACAAACTGATACCAGATAGGGGGCTACAGTCAAAAGACTTTTGGAGAAAGGAAGGGAACTTAGAGCTGGTCACTGGCCCAAGTCATGGAAAATGGAAGCGAAACTCCTGTTCATATTAGGGATTGGAAACCAGAAGTCCACGGAACAAGAAGGTAACACAGATTAATGAGGTATCACCTCCTGTAGTGGGAATGACCAGGTGAATGCCACTGGACTATAAAAAGACAATGCTGCATATCTGGTGATTTACAGAGAACCCCACCTCCCCAACTGAGGGGCCAAAGGGCCCTCAATAATATTAGGCTATAATAAACATAATCAAATGGCGACTCCAACTCAAACTGCACTTTCAGATGTGGGCCTAGCTGGAGCAAATGAATACCACCTGTGGCACCTAGACTGCAGTGATGAAGCCAGTAAATGCATCTCTCCACTGTGATAAACTGAAGATATGAGAAAGCAGTTTCCTTTCACCTGCTTCAGGGACATCAACTCAGAACACAGCACATTACAATGGTCTAGAAGCTACCAGGCTAAAACAACTGGGAGAGGAGGAAGATACAGGAGCCTTGCTTACATTTCAGAAGGTGGGATATAAATCCCACGAACAAGGGCCTGCCACTTCAGGAAGTTTCTTGTGATCCAATGGTCTGTGCCAAGTCAGGATATGCTCTTTAAAATAAGGATACACAAGAAACTAGTACCAGTGGTTGCCTCCACTGTGGAGTCCTACGTAGCTGAGTAAGTTCAGAAAAAGAACTTCGGTTTTAGGGAACACTTTTTTGTACTTCTTCAAT